GGTGATTGCATGGTTGGATTTGTCTTGACATTAAATAATTAAATCTTCACGCTTTCTCACCTAAAGATGTTTTTTTGTGTGAGGGATTTAGTAAATTCTGTTACAACAAAGGAAAGACATGTTTGTGTGTGTATGGGTGTGTGAAAGAATAAAATAAACTTATTCCCCCCCATTCCGCTCTGCTTGTTGTCATGATTGCTGTGATGCCCAGGGACACACACATGTTTTGATATACCTCATATCAAAGCCCTGTTATGGCACCTGGGACTTCAAGGGAAGTGCTCTGGGACTGTACATGAGATTTGGGAGCACAGCTAGAGATTAAACTTGAAGCTTCATACTTTAAATGCAGGTTCTTGATTATTGATTCCCACTACAACGCCCTTAAATTGACTTTTAAAATAAAGATTTCATCACCACCTTCAATGACTTACTAGTTTCCTTGCCAAAAGCAGAAAGTTATCAAAATAAATATCACAATTAAATTAACCCCAAGATTGATAGACCGATAGCTTTGATTACCAAAGTTGCTGTGTTCAAATCCCGCTCTCTCATTCTTGTAAAGGGAAATATGCAAATAGGGAAGTAGAAGTGAAGAAACTTTTCTTTAGGATCTAATTAGAATACGGATATGTATTTGAAAACACAACTACTAATTATCCTTGTACAGCTGAACCAATGTTAGTTACCTAGTGCTGTGTCCATGGCCCTACTAAATTATCTTCTGTGCAGTGAACTTCATGGTTCTCATATCACTTAGGATATCAGAACACCTGGTATCATACTAAAACAGTCTTCCAGGGCCTGGAATGGCAATGTACCTGCTTTACTTGGGTCACAAGTACCTCTCTAGGTACTCCGTGTTTGTTACTTGCAAACCCAGTGTTATTTCTGTTTGGGACCCCCAGCATCACAACCAAGTGTGCATGAGCTTCCCAACTGAAAACTGTGTGACCCCTGATGAGCTGTGTGGCCCACGCAGTGAGGAATGTGACCCCCCAGTGAGTCTACCTGAAAACATGAACTACACCACAACTGGATTGTGCAGCCCGTTTTCGTGCCTCACCATGTGTACAAACCCAGGCCATGGAAACAACAGCAGCACAAAGGATGTGGCCAGGGACTGAGCTGATTGTTCATTCTGTTTCAAGGCTCATACCTGAAGACCTGACTTCTGGTAAGGTTCAGGATCATGCTGTGCTGCTGGTCCTAGGAAATACACTTTCAGATTATTGAAGCCTTCTCCCTCCCATGGGAATAATGGGCTGGAGAAGGTTGAGTACAAAACAGGCGTAGTCACAAACCAAAAAGGCAAATGTGTTTCTCTGTGTTGTCAGAAATTTTTGTCTCAAAGAGCAACAGATAAAATCCTCCCTGAGAAATTAGTACCATTCACTTCTTTCACAAGGAAGGCTTAACTACAGATTGTAGCCACTGAGACAGACTTCGGCCCTCAACCTTCCCATCATCCTTCTCTTCAAGGAGAATGAGGAAGTAGGACAGAAGTTAACCATTTCCTGGGAAAACACCCCCCTTGCAATCTGCTATATGAGTATAAATTCAACTGGACTTACGACCATATGTTATTCCATGATAAGAAGTATCTGTGGTAGAGATTATTAAATTCTAGGGAGGTGAGTAAGTGAGCAGTCATGGAGTTTTATGAGCTAACCTTGTCAAGTCAAATTCACCATGTTTAAAGACCAGTTGTTCTGGAACACATCCTCGGTAACAAAAATCCCATGGGTGGGCATTCATTCTCACTCTCAGCAAGGGCCTCATTTCTCTGTGAGGAGGAAAATTTGCAAGAAGAAAGCTCAACCATAGGGCTGCCTCCCAGCAGTTCCTCATTATTTGGGGCTCAGGGAAAATAGCTCAGAGGTAAAACACCTGCCTTCATGTGTGAGGCCCCGAGTTAGATTCCTGGTATCCCATGCAATATCAACAACCCAAGTCACTGATTTGTTTATGTTTCCATCAAGAGTTTATCTTTAGAATGATACTTTCCTAAAACGAGATTAGGAATTAAAATGCTGTCTTACTCCCAAGATCTCATAACAATAAACATAACAATTATCATCCATACCCAGTTTTGACCCACTGTGATATAGCTACAATTTCACCAAAACCAGTTACCATGTTGTTGAGTGTTTAAAGTTTCTGTGTTCTAGAATATACATAATAGTGCAAGAAGTATATTTTACACATAATATCCCTTTCATTTGGTAAAGTTTCAGATGTTACTTCCTCACTCAATAGATCAGATTTTTCCCCCAGGAGGCCACACACACCCAGTGGTGTTCAGGGATTACTCCTGGCTCTGTGCTCAAAGACCACTACCGGTAGTGATCTGGGGACCCTAGGGGAGTTCGGCGTGGAACCCACACTGGCCACATGCAATGTAATTGCCCTACCCACTGTGTTATTTCTTTAGCCCCAAGATCATTTTTTATTTGCACTTTCACCAGATTAAATATTAGCAATTTAAACTTTTTGAACAATATGAAACAGGTTTCATATTCTGGAGCAACCTTAGAAGGTCAGTTGGTCCAGTTCCCATCCTCCCAAAGCCTAGTGGCCACCCCACAATCCACAGCTGCTGCTATGCAAATGGCCCAATTCTAAATCCTCGTGAATAATCTCTGCAGAGACAACAAACTGCAAAAATTCCAGGTACATGCTGAGAACTTGCGGTCTTCACAGAGTAGAAGGTGAGCATCTTCCCTCCACCCCCATTCTTCTGGAACCCCGGCAACTTCCCACAGCCACCGTCGTTTACATTCACTCGTGGCTCTGCTCTCCAGACTCACCACTAAATCTGCTACAAAGTGTGAGCCAAGACACTACAATTAATGAATGTTTTCAAAGCAAACTTTTTTGAATGACATGAAGCACTGTTTCACTTTTCAAATTAATTTATTTTTGGCAACTCTCATGACCTTTTCCTCTCACCTTTTTTTCCTCTATAGATGCAGTTGTTGTGACGACCAAAGTACACACCTTTGGTTGTGGTACTCATTGGGGGCCATCCAGTAGGTCGTGGTGCTTAAATTCTTGGCCACGATGCTTGACAGGGGTCACAATCGTTACTTGTGTTTCTTGAGCACATTCTAGCTGTGTTGGTCACACATGTGCTGGTCGGGGTCAAACTATGACCTTGGTTCTCAAACATCTATTCTGCACTGTGGTTGGCACTCCAAGTGTTGTGCTCACGGAAACCGGGCTGTGGTTTGGTCAGAAATGATGTGCAGTACCAGGATTTTAAACAGAAGAATCGACTGTGTTTCTCTCTCCAGAAATTACTGTGGTGTGCTTTACTCACAGTGTTACTTGATCGATCATCGCGAAGGAACTCTAGAGCACAGCTGCTGGTGTGAAGTCGCTGATGGGCAGTGTTTCCCATAGGCGTTGGCTCCATGGGAAAGGGTCTGCACTGATGTGCAGGGCCTAATAATTGATGAGGGAATGATGTGAAAATAATCATACTGAGAGGCAGATTCACTACTCTGACTCTGAAAGCTTACCCAGAGCAAATTGCATGAAGAAATTGAACTCTAGATGGTCCAGGTGGGGATTGGGGAGTTTTCTAAGGACCATGGCTGTGGGGATGCCTGCAGATCAAAGGAGTTCCACAAAAAGTATGAAACTGATGGATAAGTGTGTCAATAGCAATAGAAGGACTGGGTGATGGGAGATTTGGAAGAACAAACTTAAGCTGGTAATGCTGTGCCAGAGTTTCAGATCTCCAATTGCGAAGAGACCAAGACCACACATGATAATGTAAAAGCAAAGGAACTTTATTACTAGCTCAAGCTAGGGTCCAAGTCTCATCCAACGCAGTGGAGTCTTGACAAGAACCCCGGCTACAAATCACAAGCAGTTTATATAGGGTTCAGAGTTAAGAAGCAATTTGTATGGTGATTTATTTTTAGTATTGTCCCTATTACAATGGTGGCCAGCAATTAGACAATGGTCAGCAACAGTTTCAAAGGAGGGTACAGTGACCCCTCATGACCAGCCAGACCCAAATGCCCAATTCCTTATCTCGGCAAATTACTCAACTGGGAATTTACCAGAAACTGCAAGTCCCACTTTAGGGAAACAGAAACTGAGGCCTATCTGAGAATTAATGAAGCTTGTCATGGCATCAGTTTCGCTCTCACAGTAGGAGGAAAAGTGATGAGAAGGGAAGGAGAAAACTAACATATACAAATGTGTATTGACTTTTTAAACAACGTGTTTAGTTTTTTTTTTCCATTTTTTTATTAGTGAAACACCATGAGGTACAGTTGTAGATTTACAAATTTTTGTGCTTGGGTTTCGGTTATACAATGATCAAATGCCCATCCCTCCACCAGCGCCCATTTTCCACCCCCATGGATAACATCCCTCCCGCACCATCCCCCCCATCCCACCCTGCCTCTGTGGCAGGGCATTCCCTTTTGTTCTCTCTCTCTCTCCTATTGGGTGTTGTGGTCTGCAAAAGAGGCGAGGCATTGAGTGGCAAACATGTTCAGTCCATAGTCTACATTCAACATGCATCTCCCCTCCTGGGAGGATCATCCAGAGACCCTTTATTTGGTGCTCCCTTTTCTATCTGAATTACCCTTTCCCCTAGAATACCCGGCTGGCTTCTAAGCTATGGAGTAATCCTCCTCGTGTTGATCTCAGCTATTCTTGGGTATTAATATCATATTTTGTTACTTTATATCCCCCAGATGAATGCAATCTTTCTATGTCTATCCCTCTCTTTCTGACTCATTTCGTTTACCATGATACTTTCCATGTTGTACCACTTGTATGTAAATTTCATGACTTCATCTCTTCTAAGAACTACATAGTACTCCATTGTGTAGATGTACCAAAGTTTCTTTAATCAGTCATCTTAAACAACGTGTTTTAACATGAATTAAAACCCTGGCTAATATCTGAAAGGTGGTATTGGTTTAATTTTTCAGTCTGGGATGAGATACGGGGTGATAAAACTCATTCCAGGTAAGATGTTGGGTGAGGAGCAAGAGGTGACCAGAGGAGCTGAGGGTAGAGGTGAGGGGTCGAAATGGCCAAAGAACAACCAGGAAGGTGGAGATCAGAGATGTCTTTCAAGTTATTCCCTTTCCTGTACTCTTGGACCACAGGCCTTCTGGAAAGTCAGATTTTCTACCTCTCTCTGCTCTGATGTTTGCTGTGTGGGGTCAGCAGTGTGGGACAGACCCAGACCTGCAGGGCTCCCTCCCATGCAGAGAGCCACGAAAGCTTCCAGACATGATTTCAGAGTTTCTGGAGTGTCTGTCAGAGAGGCCCAGGTTGGCACTGAAGGGGTCTCAGAGCTAGAGCATGGGCTCTCGTGTGCAAGACCCTGGGTTTGACCCTGGCACCAGGTAGGGACATGGGTGGGGATGGAGGGAAGAGAATGCTGCAGTGGGGTCGTCAGCTTGTGGTAACAAAGTGGTGAAACAGGGAAGTTCCACTCAGGCCTCTCAGCACTGTAATGGAGCATGGGAAACTTGAACCCCACGGAGTGAGTGTGGAACGGCTCAGAACACTGGGGCCAAGAGGATCAGTGTCCCCTCAAGCAGCTGCATGTTTGAGACATAAGGACATTACCTCTGTCCACCCTCACCACACATACACCCCCTCCCTTCCTCTGCATATATGGATTGTCCTAAGTCCTCTTAGACTATGAAATAGGAGCATTGTAAAACTGGGCTCCCCTGTCTTATCACTGAGATCTGTGGTATATGACCAGCCATAACTGGTGATTGCCTTGTTTGGTGCAATATCAGTTAATGGCTGGACTTTGTACCAGAGAGAGAGTTAAAACTAAGGAGAGTCGGCAGGGAGAGTCGTTTGCTCCTGGACTGCCAGCAAGAACATCCAGAATGCAGGGCTTCACTCACCTGGTTCTTCTTGCTCTCCTTTTCACAATCTCAGGTAAGGGCCATTTTTCTTTTTGAATCTGTTTCATTTTCCACATTCCTTCCCTTTGTGGCAGTTGCTGTTGTGAAGACCAGGGGTTACATACTTGGCTGTGATGCTCCCGTGGCTTGCTTTTGGGTGCAGTCCTCACAAGGGCTTGCACACTTCGGTTTAGGTGCTCACACACACACTTGGTGGCAGACACCAGCGATCCCACACTTTGCTTTGGTGTTGGGGATCCCCAAAAGCAGAGCGGGGATGGCATTCAGGTATGTGGAGTGATTCTGGGGATCAGTCTTCTCTTGCAGGCAGGTGCTTCACCACTGAGAGATAGCCAGCACCCAAAGGAACACTAAAAAAATACTATAACTTTAGTGTGTTACCTTTGAAATGTGACCTGCTGTTTAATTCCCAATCCTCACTGAACAGAAACAGAAACAGGCATTGGGGCACAAGATAGAAAGGAGGGAAGAAAGGAAGAAAGGTTGGAAGAAAGGAAGAAAAAAGTTGGAAAGAAGGAAGGATGGAGGAAGGAAGGAAGGAAGGAAGGAAGGAAGGGAGGGAGGGAGGGAGGGAGGGAGGGAGGAAGGAAGGAAGGGAGGAAGGAAGGAAGATAGGACGACAGGAAGCAGAAGAAAGAACAGTATTTTGCAGGTGAAACTTCCACTCCAACTCAGCTCAGGTCGCAAGGCATTTCGGTCTCTGATGAAGGAAAATAGAGCCATAGAAAAGGTTCTCTGGAGTCTGAGTTGAGGTTGAGCCAATAGGGGTTCATCTGAGAGTTCCTAAGTCAAACAAGGATTCCCCAGTGTCCAGCGTCCTCCTGGCAGGTACTGGCTGTCTAACCCAACGATGCACAGAAAAGTTCTCCTCTCCCAGTTGGACTTGGACTTAAGAATTCGAGATCCAATAAATCTAGTAGGCATGAAGGGCTTCAGCAATGCACTTTCTCATCTGAGTTAAGAATGGCTTTCTCTGCGTTAAGAGGAAGTTTATAGCTCTACAAGCATTCCTCAGGAAGGAGGAGCGAGCACACATAAGTAACCTAACCTCACAGCTTAAGAGCTTGGAGAAGGACCAAAAAAAGGAGCACAACCCGAACAGGAGAAAGGAAATAATAAAACTCAGAGCAGAGATTAACGAGATGAAAACCCAAAAAACAATCCGAAAGATCAATGAAACCAAGAGCTGGTTCTTCGAGAAAATTAACAAGATTGATAAGCCTCTAGCAAAACTCACAAAGAAAGGGAGAGAGAAAACCCTAATAAACCGAATCAGAAATGAAAAGGGGGTCATTACAACAGAAACTACAGAAATTCAAAGGATCCTCAGGGAGTACTTTGATAAACTGTATGCCACGAAACATCAAAACCTCGAGGAAATGGATAAATTCCTAGACTCCTACAGACTCCCAAGGCTGAACCAAGAAGACCTGGAATACCTGAACAGACCTATCACCATCAAGGAAATTGAAATGGTAATAAAAAGTCTCCCCAAGCACAAAAGTCCTGGTCCGGATGGATTCACTAGTGAATTCTTCCAAATCTTTAAAGAGGACTTACTCCCAATCCTCTTTAAGCTTTTCCACGAAATTGAAATATCAAAAACACTTCCAAACAGTTTCTACGAAGCAAATATCACACTGATACCAAACGCAGACAGAGATACCACAAAGAAAGAGAATTACAGACCGATATCCCTGATGAACACAGATGCAAAGATCCTCAACAAACTTCTAGGAAATAGAATCCAACTACTCATCAAAAAGATCATACACCATGACCAAGTAGGATTCATCCCAGGGATGCAAGGATGGTTCAACATTCGGAAATCAATCAACATAATCCATCATATCAACAAAAGAAAAGATAAAAAGCATATGATCATATCAATAGATGCAGAGAAAGCATTTGACAAGATCCAGCACCCCTTTATGATGAAAACCCTAGCCAAAATGGGTATAGAGGGGACCTTCCTCAACATAATTAAAGCCATCTACCACAAGCCTACAGCAAGCATCATCCTCAACGGGGAAAAAGTGAGAGCCTTCCCCCTAAGGTCAGGGACGAGACAAGGATGCCCACTCTCTCCACTGCTGTTCAGTATAGTACTGGAAGTACTTGCAATAGCGATTAGGCAAGAAAAAGATATTAAGGGCATCCAGATAGGGAAAGAAGAAATTAAGCTCTCACTATTCGCAGATGACATGATACTATACTTAGAGAACCCAATAACCTCCACCAAAAAACTCCTAGAAACAATAGACTCATATAGTAAAGTTGCAGGCTATAAAATCAATACCCAAAAGTCCATGGCATTCCTATATGCAAACAGTGAGAGAGAAGAAAGCAACATGAAAAAAACAATCCCATTCACAATTGTGCCCCAGAAAATCAAGTACCTAGGAATCAGCTTAACTAAGGAAGTAAAGGACCTGTACAAAGAAAACTACAAAACGCTACTTTAGGAAATAAAAGAGGACATGAGGAAATGGAAAGAAATCCCCTGCACATGGGTCGGGAGACTTAACATTGTCAAAATGGCAATACTACCGAAAGCATTGTATAAATTCAATGCAATCCCTATAAGGATACCCACGACATTCTTCAAAGAAATGGAGCAAACACTCCTGAAATTTATATGGAACAATAAGCCCCCACGAATAGCTAAAGCAATTCTTGGGATAAAGAAAATGGGAGGAATCAACCCCCCGAACTTCAAACTGTACTACAAAGCAGTAATAATTAAAACAGCATGGTACTGGAACAAAGGCAGAACTGCAGAACAATGGAACAGGGTTGAATACACTGACATCTCCCCTCAATCATATGATCATCTAATCTTTGATAAAGGTGCAAGTAATGTGAAGTGGAGTAAGGAAAACCTCTTTAACAAATTGTGCTGGCATCACTGGACTGCTACATGCAAAAAAATGGGCTCAGAACTCTGCCTAACACCGTGTACAAAAGTAAGATCAAAATGGATTAAAGACCTCAACATCAGACCAGAAACCATAAGGTACATTGAAGACAAAGTTGGCAAAACCCTCCATGACATTGAAGTTAATGGTATCTTCAAAGATGCCACGCCACTGGCCGAGCAAGTGAAAACTGAGATAGATAAATGGGACTATCTTAAACTAAGAAGCTTCTGCACCTCCAAAGAAACAGTGACCAAAATACAAAGACAGTCTACAGAATGGGAAAGGATATTCGCCGAATACACATCTGACAAGGGATTGATATCCAGGATATACAAAATACTGGTTAAACTCCACAAGAAGAAAACATCCAACCCCATCCAAAAATGGGGCAATGAAATGAACAGAAACTTTCTCAAAGAAGAAATCCGAATGGCAAAAAAGCACATGAGAAAATGCTCTACATCATTAATCATCAGGGAGATGCAGATCAAAACCACAATGAGATACCATCTCACACCTCAGAGACTGGCCCACATTCAAAAGAACAAAAGCAACCCATGCTGGCGCGGATGTGGCGAGAAAGGGACACTCCTTCACTGTTGGTGGGAATGTCGACTGGTTCAGCCCTTCTGGAAAACAGTATGGACGATTCTCAAAAAATTAGAAATTGAGCTCCCATTTGACCCAGCAATACCACTCCTGGGAATATATCCCAGAGAGGCAAAAATGTATAGTCGAAGTGACATCTGCACTTGTTTGTTCATTGCAATAGCCAGAAACTGGAAGAAACCTGAATGCCCAAGAAAGAAACTTTGGTACATCTACACAATGGAGTACTATGTAGCTCTTAGAAACGATGAAGTCATGAAATTTACATACAAGTGGTACAACATGGAAAGTATCATGTTAAGCGAAATGAGTCAGAAAGAGAGGGATAGACATAGAAAGATTGCATTCATCTGGGGGATATAAAGTAACAAAATATGAGATTAATACCCAAGTATAGCTGAGATCAGCACCAGGAGGATTACTCCATAGCTTAGTGGCCAGTTGGGCATTCTAGAGGAAAGGGCAGCTCAGATAGAGAAGGGAACACCAAATAAAGGGTGTTTGGAAGACCCTCCCAGGAGGGAGGGGAGATGCATGTCGAAAGTGGACTATGGACTGAACATGTTTGCCACTCAATGCCTCTTTTGCAGACCACAACACCCAAAAGGAGAGAGAGAACACAGGGGATTGCCCTGCCACAGAGGCAGAGGGGGGGTGGGGGGATAGGGGTGGGGGGGATATTATCCATGGTGGTGGAAAATGGGCACTGGTGGAGGGATGGGTATCTGATCATTGTATAATCAAACCCAAGCACAAAAAATTGTAAATCTACAACTGTACCTCATGGTGTTTCACAAAAAAAAAAAAAAGAATGGCTTTCTGGGGACTGAACAGATAGTATAGTGAGTAAAGCATTTGCCTTACTTGTGAAAAACCTTGGTATCAAATATGCCTCCTGAGCAGGGCTTAGGAATCAGGTGTGGCCCAAAAGTAAACATCTCAAAACAAGAAAGGTTCTCTGGGATGACTGTGGTGGAAAATGTTGTCTCTTAGAGGTGAGAAATAAAGGAAATCCAGACCTAGTTAATGAAAAGAATAAAGTATTGACTGGAGAGATATTAGAGGAGAGAAGCCTGACATGTGGCTGGTCTCCATTTGGTTCAATCCCTGGCATCATATATGGTCTTCTGAGCACCAGTAATGAACACCCTTGATCACAGAGTCCTTGTACTCTGCCAGGTGTGGCCTAAATCACTTCCAACTCTGTGGGTGAAAATAAAGCAAGTAATAAAGAATTTGATGTGAAATAAGAAGACATGAAATTGAATTAATTTTAGAGAAATTGGGATGGTCAGTTGTGGGCATTTGGTTGTCAGAGAAGTGGTTGGAAGTTCCTAGCTGAGGAAGTGGGAAGATTCCCTCCCAGGAGGGCCAATGCTGTGGGCAGCTACCATAAGAAAGAGTCATGGCCGCCACCAAAGGGAGGCTATTCAGGCTAGGGAGAAGGTGGGGCTGGAAAGAGGTGAGGGGAACAGGTATCATGGTCTCAGCCTTTCTCGTTGTGTCTCTGCTAGTGTGGGGAGGGTGTTTTCTGATGCAGAGAGGTCAGGTGAGCAGCAGGGCGAGTCCCCAGCGAGCCAGACAGGGGTTCACATGCGCTGTCACAACTGTGGGGAGTCTCAAAACCTCTGTGTCACTCTGCAGTGAGACCGTCCCTGTGCTGAGTGACAAAGGAGTAAATGGACCAGAGTGTGTGCCTTGAGCAAGGGACATGCCTACCACCCAGCAAGACTGATGTGGGAGACCAGTTTCCCTCTTACCCAGGGTGCTGGAGAGAGGCATCAGGCTCAGTGAGGGGAGGAACAAAAGGAATGAGGTGCTGCATGCATGCCTCTCTTTCCCTGAGGAGCTGTTCTATAAGCAGAGGGAGGAGGAGGAGACTCTTCCACTGTTGGGATCTGGGCTCTGTGTGTTGCCCAGCTCCCGCCAGCAGCCAGGAATCTCCTTCCTGAAGGGCATGAGCAGCCAGCTGTGAAGGGCGTGTTTTGAGTAAGACCCAGTGTGCTGAGTCTTTCTCTGATTCAGCAGAGGTGCTCAGGACAGAGCTGTCGCTCTTCCTAGGGGCAAGAACAGAGCCAGTTTGCCACCACACCATCTGCAGGGGTTCCTGTCCCTGCTCTGTCCCTTATAGCTGCGGGCTACCCTCTGTCCATGGCACCTGCCAATAGGGACGTGCATCCATGTTTGGTGGAAGAGCACACCCACAGGGTCAGCACTATGGTCAGAGGTCTCAAAGTCCAGAATTGGGGATTAGACCAGGTTCTGAAGTGCAGAGGGCCCAGGTGGTACCTGGGCATGAGCAGACACCAGCTGGCCCCATAGTGGGTGAGCACAGGATAGTTACTGTGAAGAGGGGAGGCCAGAAGGCAGTGGACCCTGAGCTGGGACCAGGAAGGTCACTCCAACTACAAAGGGCAAAGTGGTCATTTTTTTAATCTACGCCAGCCCTTTAGCCACTGTCCTGACAGCAAACAGGGAGCAGAAAACAGAAAAGATTTTTTTGTGGAAACCTCCATGATTCTCAAGTGACTTTGTGTTGGAGGACATTTTGGATATGTGTAGACACAAAAGAGGTGGCCACTGTTTTTCCCTTCTCTGTATTTTTATTTTATTATTAAGCTTTTTTTAATAATAGAAATTATTAAATTGTTTTATGTGGGCACTGAGTTGTTACGCAAATAATGAAAATTCCTCATAACAAATTCCAACTATGCAGGTATGTACATACTGAAAACTGGAGAAACAGTAGGTAGGTAGGGCACTCACCTTGCACGCAGCCTCCTGGCTTCTATTTTTTTCTTTTTTAAAAATTTTTATTAGTGAAACACCATGCGGTACAGTTGTATACTTACAAATTTTTGTGCTTGGGTTTCACGCTAGGGGAAAAGGCAGATCAGGTATAGAAGGGAACACCAAATAAAGGGTGTTGGGAGGATCCTCCCATGATGGGAGAAGTATCCTGGCTTCTATTCCCAACACACCTCTTGGTCCCCTGAGCCCCACCAGTATGATCCCTGAATACAAACCCAATTGTAAACCCGAACACCACTGGGTGGGACCCAACCCCCTAGAGGCCCCCAAGCCCCAATATCTAAAATTTAGTGGGTACTTATTACAAAGAGAACAGGAAGTTTAATGTCCACTTAATGAGATATTTTCACTTTAAAAGATTTAAATACGTCTTCATGCCCCCCTTCTCATATCCCTCAATGCTAAAATACTGAAATGGAAATTGGGAAAATTATCCTAAGAAATTAAGATAGTGACAGCGCCCCCTGCTGGCATTCTGTGTCTAGCTGAGGACAGCTCAGAGTAGGGAGCCGACAGTCCTGCAACTGAAGGCCTGTCCTGGGACTCCTGGTGGCACCGCGATACAAATTAACAATTCGGAATACTGTCTGATAACATTTTTCCAGTTTCTGTTCTGTTTTAACCTTTATTATAATTTTGGAGTGTTTTTGGAAGTAGTCATGCATCTTCCTTTTAAATGTAGTCAGAGGTTTTATTCAGAAAGAATGATTGGGTACCAGTTACTATAATAACAATGGCTGCCATTGTGTAGTGACCCTACTGTCTCCTGACACTCAGTACATTTGTCTTCGAGTCTTGGTTCAAAGGTCTTCTGAAAATAGCACTACAATTACAACTACAAAAACTATCATCTCTTCCATAACTACCGCCACAATTACAGGAACTATCAACTCGACTTCCCCAACTACCGCCACAACTATTACCTCCAATACTACCGGAGATTCTACCACCACGAGTGCTGAAGTGTCAAATACTACGGTTTCTGCAAAGCCCACTACCACTGGTAAGAGCTACTTCCACTAGACTATTTTGTGAAAGATGGTATATAAATAAGAATTTTCCTGGGTTAGGGAGGTGGTACTATGAAATCGAGGTTCCCTTGGGTATGTAATGCTCAGATTAAAAAGCCCGAGTCCCAGCAGCAGTAGTGATATCAGAGCCAAGATTCCCTGCAGTTCCATCCTGCTCACCCCTCCCTCCCACTCACCCTTCCACGGTTATTTGTACACCCTGTTTATGAACTCAGGCGTGTGAAAGCTACTTCTATAGCTGTCCTCTCCCTAAGGAAATGTTTTGGGGAGAGGTGGGTTCCGCAGGATTCTCAGAGGCTCAGGGCCCCCTCGCCATTCTCAGACACGGGTCAGTGCAAGGATTGAGGATGGGCTGCTGCCCCTAGGCCCCTCCAGAGGTGCTGTGGCCTCCAAGGCTGCAGCCAACCATCAGTGTCGGGCCTTAGTACCAGGACTCGAACCCACATCAGGCACACACCAGGCACACACCTAACCTGATGTGCCATCTCCTGTTTGTCTTGAAGAGAGTTCGGGAATCAGTTTCTGTGTCTCAGAGCAGGCTGGGTCAAACAGACCTCAGGCCTTCATCCCCACAGGCCTAGCATCTTGCCCTATGGAAATAGCGGGTTCGACGCTGAATTTTTGTCAAACACTTATGAAAAATTGAGATCACAAAGGTGACTGATGACAGTGGGAATTTGTAAAAATTCATGGAACTTTGGCCAGGGGAATAAAAAGTATATCAATGGCAGTTCTCAAATAATCATGGCTTAAAAAGGACCATTACCTAAAGAAAAAGTTATGTTTTTTATGAAACTGAAGATTTTTATTCTTAAAAATGCATATATCTGTAATGCCTTTTTCTTTACTCACTTTCTTTCCCCCCCCCCCACAATACTAGCATATAACAGACCAACAAGGAAAATCCCCTTTAAATATCTGTGAAGAATATAAACAAAATATTTGGGAAGAAGCTGCAAAATTGTTGAAGGAAGCCATCAATAGTTATTTTAAGCAGAAGCTGCTTCCTTCTTTTCCCAAAACTTGGACTAGAACAAATGTCATCTAACTTTATTAGTAAAGGCAAAGCAGTAAATTCTTCAGGTTTGGGACACAAAAAGGTCTCAGTTGCCACAAGTCCATGCTGTCTTAATAACTAGAGAAAGTTATAGTGCACCTGGCTTCATACCAATAAAACGTTATCCACTAAAGCAAAAGATCTGGATAGGGCTCGTGAAACATTTTGCCAATCTCTTACCTAGAATAATCTGTAAACCTAGACTATTAGGGTATAAAAAATCAGTGTCATTTCTAGAAAGGGCGATGGAACTCCAAAGGCAGTAACTTGCCAAGGGCTGGAGAGTGAGAGTGAGTGAAGTGTTTTCCTACACATCTTTTTCCATGCTTGCTTCTTTGAACGGCCTTTATGTTTTTTGAAAGCTCTAAACAATGAGTCATTAAGCACACATAGCCAGAGTCTGTCTGAGACCTGGTCCCCAGCTCTTCCTGTTGGATGGGCTGCTCTGAAGGCCAGACTCAGTCAGCTCTCCTGACTTGAGTTTTTCTAAACCAGAAATTGTCTGAAGTCAGGCAGCCTCTGTGTCGTGTTCTGGCCCAGCAACTAACGACCATGGGGCACAGCCAAAGCACTTGCATCTTGACTTTGGCTTATTCACTTGTCATCAGGTGTGACAGAGCATCATAGGTCCTCAGATCCCTTTCAGGCAAAACACACTGTGCCTTTGTGCCTGGCACCACACAGAACGACATGGTCTTTATTTATTTATTTCTAATTTTTTATTGTTTGGGGGCCACACCCAGTGATACTCAGGGGTTTCTCCTGGCTCTGCACTCAGGAATTAATCCTGGCAGTGCTCAGGCAATCATATGGGATGCCACGGGATCAAATTCGGGTTTGCCTATACTACATATTATCTTTTCAGCCCCAACAAGGCCTTGACTGCCAGCAGGCAGGCATACTTGGAGTTACTTGACTTCTGCAGCCAGAATGGGGCTGGACAAGGTGTATTCCTTGCGATTTTCTTGATCATCTCTCTAGTATAGCCAAGGGATTTTTCAGAAGTCATTTACTTGGACCCTGATTCATACTTGTTAGAGGACAGACACTAATGTATTTTGAAATACCAGCCTGTACCTCCTATGTCCCTTGTAGCTTAGATTTGGGGGGGTAGGTTAAGAGACCCTCCAAGTGGTAATTAGGAGGCTTGTGAGCCCTCCTAGACAATATCAAGTCATCCAGTTCAACAGTCAATGCGAGGGCTCTGGTGCTGCAAAGGCCCTGCAGTACCAGGGATCAAACTAGGGCCAGCTACATGCAAGGCAGGTGCTGTACCCTTTGTACTATCTCTCCAGAACCCATGGCATTTCATGGTTTGATTGGTAATTTCCTTTGAATACTGATTAATATCCCATTGTCTGGAAACATCAGAGTGTGTTGATCTATTCACCTACCGGAGGACATTTAGGTTGCTTCAAGTCTTGGCATTTATGAGTAAAGTTGCTACATATGTTTGCATGCCTTTTTGTATGATAAAACATTTGAGTTTCTTTGGGTAATCATCAAGGAATGCTCTTAATGGACCCAGTGATAAAGCTATGTTTAGTTTTGCAAGAAACACTGAGGTGTTTTCCAGTGTTAGTGCATCATTTTGCAACCCCCAACCCAACACAACAGAGTTCTGCTGTTCTTGCCAGTAGCATTTTATTTTTTTAATTAAAATAGACAAGGCCCAGAATTATGCAGAGAAATGCTCATGCATAGCAAAAGTATGGCAGCTAAAATGTGACCATCCTCAACTTTTGGAAATCAAGCTCCGAAGTTTCCTCCCTGAAAAGCAGTGATCATTCATTCTGGGACACATAACACAGGTTCTTGTGCCTCATGTGGGACATGCCTTCCGCATGTGTCAGAACACATGTCTGTGTCTGGGTGCATTTTCACTCATGAAGTGACCATGTCATGGACATAGTACTGACAAATGGATAGTTTTAAATGATTTCTACTTGTATTTTGATAAGAATGCTAAGATAGCCTTGAAGCTTATCAGACACTTGATCTTAGATCAAAGCTCAAAGTTATTTCACTTGGCAGAAATGAAGAAATGACCATCCTCCATCACCACCCACAGGATTTCTGATTTCATTTCCATTCTCACTTCCTTCAGAGCTTCGGAGACAAGAGGGGTGCTAGGCCACACCTGGTTGGGCAGTTCTGGCCAGAGGTGAGCCAAGCATGGCTCCATGACTGTCCCCAGGAGTCACAGTGTCCACTCAGAAGGCCAGAGAGTCAAGTGCCCTTATTAATCCTCTGAGAATTTCCATGGGTATCACATACACTCACTCCTTCCTGTTCAACTCCTTTCTCCATGGGTATATACAGTATGTCTGCAAAACAGAATGCAACTTCTAGCTCCTTTCAGGAGCATCTTCCCTGTACCTTCCTACAAAACAGCTCATACATCTTGCTCAAAAGGTGGTTCTTCATGTTTTGGTCTCTAAGTGTTTTGGGGGAACCAGCTGAAGTTTAAGAAGACTGCAGCATGCAGGAGGGTCATTGAGGTATAAGAATTCCTGTTAATTTTTTGCAGTCAGAATCTCTCTCTCTCTCGACGTCTTTTCCACTCTCACCCTGAATCTCAGACCCCCTTATGATTATTTCCAGCTCTTCCATGGGCATGCATGCACTGGGGTAGAAGCCAGGAAAGGGCCACAGATTTTGTAAAGAGCTAAAGCACTTGCCTTGGAGGCAGCCACCCCCACTTCAATCCTAGGCACAGCTTAAGGTCCCTTGGGCTCAAGAGTGATCCCTGGGCATCGGGTTTAGCCCACAGTGCCCACTCCACCTCCACAGACACAGAAGGGACATAATGCAGCTAAGAAATATAAAGAGCCCAGTGAGAGTTAGGAAAAGTTGAAACCATATTTCTGGGTATTATTTGTTTTCGATTTGTGGATTTGAGGTCTTTCTACTGTATTTCAGGTCCATATAATATTTGTCTAAAAAGTAACTGTACCGGTGGTTCTTCATGTGTTGGTCTGAATACCACATTCTTCTGCATTTGTCAAGAGGGCTATTACTACAAACAAAGCAAGTGTCTGGAAGGTGAGTATCCATGGTGAGCCTCGCTGGACAGACAGTTCAGGGGTAATGCACTTGCTTTGCACAAGGCCATTTCCCATTCCAGACCTTGCACTGTGTGGGTCCCTGAAAAAGGTTTTCATAGGAAAACCTATGAGCACTGAGCTTGGAGTAGCCCGTGAGCACCACCCATTGCAGGCCCACAAATGGAGGGGCAATCTCTGCAAAGCTGCATCTCATAACGAAGAAGGACTAGAAAACTCCAATAATGACATAACATGTGCCCCAAGGTTTTAGTCAGTTCCGGAGTTGATTCCTTGACACAAAAACAAAAACTAGAGCCAAACACTATTTTTAGCAAAGAGCTCCCAGAGGGTAAAGAGATAGCACACAGCTTAAGGTAATTTCATCTCATGCAGCTGACCCGGGTTCCATCTCGAGCTCCTCGTATGGTTCTCCAAGCACAGCCAGGAGTGATCCCTGAGCATAGAGCCAGGTGTAAGCCCTGACACTACTGGATATAACCAAAAACAAGAACAAAGAACAAAGGTCTGGGGGCCTGTGTTCCTTGCTTTCCCTGTTCCAGACAACATTTCCACGGGGACCAAATGAGAATGACAGATGTCCAAGCCCTGACAAAGTGCAAGGATAACACAAGTACACAGTGTGAGAAACATCCTCCTGTACCACAGCGGGCAATTTTTAGGAATCAAGTAGAGTATTGGTCAGGCATTGGAGCTCTGGCAAAGGCCCCAGCGTGGTCATACCTTTACACTCTGAGTAGATGACCCCAAAGGACTTAACTGGGAGGATATTCACAGTAAACTTTAAAATTTTTTTCCTTTAAAACAATTAAAATTTCAAAGTTCAATGGCACAAAGTGACTACATCAGTGAAAAATACATGCTTCACATAATGTTTGTCTTTCAAATAGATATTTATAAAGAGTGTATAATGATCTGAAAAACTGCATAGTAATTAACTTGAAGACTCATGATATTCGTAATTATGTAAATTATTAATAATTTATATTAAAAGTTTACAATGTTAATAATGTAAACCATGCAAGAAAATCTAGAGATGGAAGAAAAGACCAAAAATTAAAATGTGTATATTTGATTATGGTACTGCGGTAATAGTTTTAGTATTTCCAAACTTCCTATAGTTTCTTCATATCAAGTTTAGAATTTTGAAAAATGATCTATGTTTCAACAAAACAGAAATGATTCTCAACATTAAATAAAAAAAAATATTTTGTTTATATTCCAGGGAGAGTGTTCCCTGGAACACTTACAATTGAACAATTATATACATCTGACTTGGAAGATAAAGGATCCATGACTTATGAAGAGTATCATTATAATATTACTAAATTTGTAAGTATTTTTCAAGCTTCTTCTTCTCGTCTTCTTCCTTCTATCACTGAGATGCAGAGTGTAGAGCTGACATCCCAAGGGCACACCCCCAAACAGTGGTGCCATTGTGCAACATAAGGAAATTCACCCTCACTGGTGGTGGCAAGGCCCTGAGCTCAGTGCTTCCGAGCCCCTCCCAGGGAATACTGGGCCTCCCCATGTTCCTGCACTTTGGAGAGTATCACCCAGCATGGCAAAAGGCCTTCAGGAGTTTGAGCCACCCGTGACTGAGTGGTGTTTCTACATGTTTAGCTTACAGTTAGGCAGGCAGATAAATATAATGATGTTTTAAAATTTCCACTGTTGAAGAGGAAAAAGAATATAAAGTTGTTTCCCTTTTACATTTAAAGTTGACTAAATTTCTACACAAGTCTGGTTTAAAATGAAGTATAGATGAGACTGGAGAGAGGCTGTCACTGTCACTGTCCTCCCATTGCTCATCGATTTGCACAAGCGGGCCCAGTAACATTGTGAGCCTTGTTGTTACTGTGTTTGGCATATCGAATACATCATGGGTAGCTTGCCAGGCTTTGCCGTGCGGGCGAGATATTCTCGGTAGCTTGCCGGGGTCTCTTAGAGGGGCGGAGGAATCGAACTCAGGTTGATCAGGTCGGCCGCGTGCAAGGAAAACGCCCTACCCGCTGTGCTATCGAGCCAGACCAGAGAGATGCTATAGGAGATAAACACTTGCCTTGTATGCAGCTGCTTTCTCCTTGGCCCTGCTTCAATCCCAGTACCACTTCTGACCCCTGAGTTCCACCTGGAGCGACCTCTGTGCACAGAAGCAGAAATGAGCCCTGAGCATCCTTTAGGCCCCAAACCAACAATGTGAACAAATTAAACAAGTGTCTGAATGGGGCACTCCATCTAATTTAACATCGTTTTAAATATAAGTAAGATATTTTTTCTATCACAATCAAAAATGTCAAAATGTACAAAGTTTCATTTAATTTCAATTTATTTTCATATTGTGAAGGTTAAAATGTCTTTGCTTTAATCAGATCCACTCACCATTTGGGGTACTCTTACAGCATTGTGATACTTTTGGGGATGGGTCACAGCTCACCGGACTGGACTGCAGGAGATCTAGATTAGATCCCCAGCATTGCTTATATCCTGAGCACTGTGGAAGCTGTGATCCCAAGACTGAGCTGAGAGTAGCCCCTGTCACTCCACTCCTGCACCACTCAGAACAGACATAGGAAAGAAATAAATTGGTTCTTGAGAAGCAATGAACCTGTCACTGCTGTCTTCTGTCTGTCCTTCCTAGGAACTTCTTAGAAGTCCTATTTCATTGTTCAGAGCAGAGACTCACTGGGCTTGAGAGCACTGTGTATCCTGCAGACCCACTCAGGCAGAGGCAGTGCTGACCCTGCTGGGGACTAGCACTGTGTCCCCTCTTGGGGAAAGAGGAGCACCCGGAAGAAATCATTCTGGGATATGCTGACCCTGAACTTTCTGAACCAGAGGCTCAAAAAGGACATTACCTAGATCCAGCTTAAAAGCAGGAGGCTAGAGCTGAGTCTTCTAGCAGTGGTTGATCAACAGTAACTTGTTGTGACAAATCATTAAGTTTATATACCTAAGCTTTAATGTTAAAACCTACCACAGTATAGGTTTCCACCCCCTTGTAGTTGTTATTAAACCTGTGCTTCTCTACAGTTTAAAGGAGCATTTAATGAATCTGTATATGGACAGACCGTCATTCATAAAGTCAGGTAAGCTGCTGTGGGCTGATGGGTTCTTAGGAGGCTGGGTCACTCCCTTCTTCCCCTGAGCTCCCTGGCAACATCAGGAGGGTCAGCTCCATGGCCTGCCCTAACCAAGGGAGTGGTGGTCAGCCTCACCCACCCCCGCAGTGTTGTTAGACACACTGGCCCAGACTGGAAGTTGGGACAGAAGCTGCGGTCTGTGGTTGGCTGTTCGGCCACAGGCACACACACTGAAGGCATCGCTGGGCCACTTTGGTTTGCCCCTGAAACTGCAAGTCCCACCTGCCAACTCCTGTATTGTGCTTTCATGGGGGACAGGAGGAGAATGAACAGCTCCATTCATCTCTTTGCCCATATTAGAGCTGGAGAGGAGTAGTTAAGAAACAAGAAACCCAATAGCTCACCTGATTTTCACAGGGCCAACTAGGAGCACTTTGTCGAATGCAAACAAGCATGATGCAGTGTAGAAAAAACACATATATCTATATGGAACTATAGATAGAGATATAGAGATTTAGATATTTGTCATGTTGTGGCCACACGTGGTAGTGCAGGGCTTCTCCCAGCTCAATTTCCACAGGTCATTCCCAGTGTTGCTCCAGTAACCAAACCCAGACCTCCTGTATGGAAAGTATATGCTTAGCCTCTTGAGTTACCTTTCAGTCCTGTACTAATATTTAATGATGTCACAGATGCATCAATATTCATAAGAATTGTCAAATCCTTGTGGATAAAATGTATGCCCATATGTTTTTATATATATGTATATATGTATATGTGTGTCTGTATATATCTGTGATATAAATTCAGAGAAGGCTTCATAACAGTGGTGAGTTTTGTGCTAGGTAGTGAGAGACACTTGTTATTGTTAGCCAGGAGAATAACAAGGGACTCAGTATTCACCTGCCAAAGGACCAGCAGGGAGACTGGGAGCCAAATATCAGGGATAGAAGTCCAAGTGAGCAGTAGACAGTGACTTGAGGGCCTGCATTGTTTCTGGTATGAAAGCATAAGTTAGTTGACTACACGGAATTCCCATGGCAGGGTTACTTAGACAATCAAATAGAAACAACGAGCTCTAGTGCCGTCAGCCACATCTGTGCATACATCCTGGGTTTGGGACTACCTTGCTGCTAGACGGGGCAGACTTTTACCCTCTCTGAACCTTTACTACCTCGCCTATGTGACTGGGATGGTGTCATTCACTTTCCTGGCACCCTGGGAGGGTACAGGGGCTGCTATTGAAAGAGGGTTCTGGCACTTAGTTTCAACAGCCCTTAGCTGTGTTTCTCGTGCAGACTGGAGTGTTCTCCAAGTTTAATGGTCAGCACATCTGTGGGTCCCTGGGAAGTGGCCTAAATCTATGGCGTGATTTTTTTTTGTTTTTAACGGAGCCACTAAATGTGAGCAGAGGGTGTTCAAATACGCAAACGTCCTCCTGCAAATTGCTGGGGAGGCTGTTTTCCCCAGCTCAGGGCCCTGGAATAGTCCTTCTGAAGCCTGAGCCAACTGCTCTCTGCTCTCTGAATCCCCAGTTCTTTATAGAACTTATTCACTAGAGCGATAGTACAGGGGGTTGGGCACTTGTATGAAATGAACCCACTCAGGTTCAATCCCAGGCACCACATATGGTTCCCAAAGTGGGGAGAAGATGGGGGAGTGAGGAGGGATTGGGGAGAAAGAGGGAGGGGGAGGGAGAGGGAGAAGAATGGGAGAGGGCGAGGGAGAATGGGTAGAGAGAGGATTTTCTCAACTATTTTTTTTGTACAGAAAAAGAAACTCAGGCTTAGGGATGCTGTGACTTGGAGTTCGATGAAAGCAGATGGTGGCACTCTTGGGGCTAGATTTTAGGTCTCTTCACCCCAAGTGGAGTGCCCTAGTCATTCATGCTCCCCTTTTCTCTGTAGCACCTACATACACAGTTCCTCCATTTTTCCTTCAGCATTTTCTGAATGCATAGCTTTGCTGCCTAAATTAGAACATAGCTACTAGGATCTTTGAATGAGTGACAGAATTTGTTCTTTTTTTTAAATTTTATTGGTGTTTTCAAAAAGCTACCTTTCAACTCAACTGAATTTCTTTATTCCCCCCCCCCCCACCCTTGGTTTTTTGGGTCTTATACAATGATGCTTGAGGATTACTACTGGCTCTGCACTCAGAAATTACTCAGTGCACAGAGGACCATATGGGACCATATGGGGATACAGGGATTGAATATGGGTTGTCTGCATGTCAGGAAAATGTCCTAACCACTGTACTGTCACTGTGACCCCTAGCATTTGTTTCTTAACTTCACTGCAGAATTATTCCATGAATTTTTGGTCGTTTTTCTGTTGATAAAGAAAACCTTGTGCCAAGTGCCCCTTTCTTAATGTTCTGTGGGCGCCACTGCCACCTCCAACCCCTTGCACAAATGACCCGTGCCACGGAATTTTAATTAAAATTTCAAGTTCAGAAGAAGTAGCGCAAGGGTTAAGGTGGTTGTCTAGCCCATGGTCAAGCCAGGTCAAATCCCTGATATTACATATGTTCTCACAAACGCAGCCAGGAGTGAATCTGAGCACAAATGCAGGAGAAAGTCCTGAGCATAGTTGCGTGTGACACACAAGAAAACTGCACTGCACTGTAGCACTGTCCTCCTGTTGTTCATAGATTTGGTCGAGCGGGTACCAGTAACATTTCACAACAAATTGTGATTTTTTTGTTGCTGTTTTTGGCATATTGAAAACGTCACGGGGAGCTTGTCAGGCTTTGCCTTGCAGGCGAGGTACTCTCAGTAGCTTGCTGGGCTCTCTGAGAGGGGCGGAGGAATCAAACCCGGGTCAGCTATGTTGGCCACTTGCAAGGCAAACGCCCGACCCGTTGTGCTATTGCTCCAGCCCCCACAAGAAAACAAACAAAACCCACTAATTTTTTACAAAAAGAATATTTTGTTGAGATGACTGGCCCGAAAAACAAAATTTGATTTAAGTTTTGAATGTCTGGGCTCTTCTGGGTTTTTACAGCTCAGAATCAACATGGCTATAAGTATTCCCTAAGTACTTTGACTGCCTTTTCAGTAATTACTGCAAAGTTAAAATGGAATATAGAAAAGGCAGTTGATCAGGACAAATGTAATGCTAAAAGTTTCAGCCAATCAGCCTTTGTCTTTTTTTAAATCCTTTTAAAAAATTGTCTCACTTTGGTACATCTACACCAGGAATACTATGCAGCTTTTAGGAAAAATGGTAAGGTAAAGGTAAAGGCCCTCCCGTTGTTCGTCGATTTGCTCAAGCGGGCCCAGTAACGTCTCCATTGGAGACTTTTGTTGTTACTGTGTTTGGCATATCGAATACATCACGGGGAGCTTGCCAGGCTCTGCCATGCGGGCGAGATACTCTCGGTAGCTTGCCGGGCTCTCCGAGAGGGGCGGAGGAATCGAACTCGGGTCGGCCATGTTGGCTGCGTGCAAGGCAAACACCCTACCGCTAAGTACAAAGATTCAACAGTTCACAAGAACCCTAATCTTGGTTCCTATAGAACATGATAGCTTACTATGGCAAATGTTACATGTCCTATTTATTTTGTTTTGTTTTGGTTTTGGGGGGGGGGGGTGTTGTTCATTTGATTTTATTGTTTTGTTTTTGAGCCATACCAACGTACTTAGGGCTTACTCTTGATTCTGCTCACAGGAATCACTCCTGGCAGAGCTTAAAGCAGCATATGGGATGGCAGGACTCAATCCTGGGTCAGCCCCATGCAAGGCAAGCCCCTACCCACTGTTATCACTCCAACTTTCATTTGATATGGAGCCACAACCCTGACAGTGCTCAGGGAATCATACCTAGTGCTGGAGATCAAATCCAGGTTGGCCACATGCAGTCATATGCCCTCCCCACTCTACTATCCTCCTACACCACATGCCCTACTTATAGACATTTTAGAGATTATAGCTCCCAGAAAATGACTATTCACAATTTTCATATGTGTTTTCCAACCGGATACTATTTTTGATCATCTTGAATATCAGGTATCTTGCAAATAAAATAGAGATCTTCAGTGTCGTCAAGGGTCATATTATTGTAACTACATAACTGGCCTCAATGATGAAAGGAGGAGAGTACGTCAAGACTAGAGCTGGGAGATTTGGGAGTCTGGGTCAATTTGTAGACCTGTTAGTCTCTCCATTAAGTTAACCAAACGATGACTTTGCTTCACTTTTAGCCTGTCTACTTCAGAAAAATCTAACTCACGTGTTAAAGTAACAGTAGTGAATATTTTAAACAAAGACTTCAATCTAACTGAAGAAGAAGTGACTAAAGCAATTCGGATACAAGCTGTGAGTGCGTACCCAAACACTTTATCATACACTAGTAAGTATGAAGTAATTTTTCTAAGCCTGGCTGTCGTTCTGTAAATTCTCCATCCCATTTGATCAAGAGATAATAAGGAATGCAATTTCCTCCTCCCTTTCCTCTTCCACTGGACTTTCCCCCTTTCCAACCATCCCTCAAGGCATCAAACTGACCAGTTTGTTCCACTGTCTAGGATGATAGTCATGGAAAACAGAGTTTGTACAGGGAATGGTGAAGAAATACAGGCCTGACACCAACCTATAGTTTTCCAGATGAGTTTAGAAAGTTTTACCTAGAATTTTTCTCCATGACTTTATACACAAAGCAGAGAATAGATGTAATGGGGGGTTAAAAGCCACCCTCAAGCTCTAGCTTTCAAACCATCTTTGTATTGCCTCCTCAGAATTCTATGGACCAGAATTTTGAGTGAGAAGAGGCAGGTATTTCTTCTGGTCTAGTTTTTTGACTTGTCTTTATTGGGCTCACTTTTAAGCCTCTTCCCTAGAGTACTGCGTAAGCCGACTGGGGCTGACTAAACCCAAGAGGGCACAATTGGATGGTTTATCTGCTCCACACTATCCTGCATGCTCTAGCATGCTAGTCCAAGAGGGTTTCCCAAGCAGCAAGAGGGGGATTTTTGAATCACACATGTTTCTCAGGTCTGTTCATGCCATGTCTAACATTGATTCTGATGGTCCAAGCAATTCACGTGCTCAGGAACAGAGTGGCAGGACCCTGGTGATGGGCCTGGGTAGGAAGGTATGAATGCATGGACATTGTGATTGCAATTCACTCCCTCACACTGAGGAGACCTGCTACATCTCTTCCATGACCTGGCAGGGTCAACCTCAGAGGAGCTTAATGCAGCTGGTTCCCAGGACTAGCAGCCAAATCCCGAGGCTGCTGCTGAGGGCAATATATTGGACTTTTCAATGGTATTTAACCATGGGTTTTTTTTTTTACTTTTTTTTAAAAAAAAAATTTAACTTTGGGGCCACACCCAGCGGTGCTCAGGGCGTACTATGAATTCTGTGCTCAGGCATCACTCCTAACAGTGTACAGAGGCCCTTATGTGGTATCAGGAATATAACCTGATAAGCCTTGTGCTGAGCAAGTGCTCCACCACCATACCATCTCCCTGAGCCCCTCATTCCCTTCTTATAACCCTGTTCTTTCAATGCCTCACACTCATTATCCTAATTTCTTCTTACGTCCTCATGCTTCTTACTTCCTCTATTTGTAATCTTAAATTTTCACTTTGAAATATATGTTCACTCCTTACTTTGTAAAAAATATTTCTCTTTTTGAAAGTAAAGACAAATTCTATTCATTCATAATTTCCCAGCATGTTTTATACTCAAGAGTTCATAGAAGTTCTTGGTGTTCGCTGAAGACCTGAAATAAAGCATTCTGGATCAGTTATTTAAATTCTTTCAGAGAAGTTGGAGGCTTCTCTATACCACACTGCCTCTTTTTGTGTGTGTGTTTTGTCTATCCATCAGCTTTACATTCTCTTTCTCTTTTTATCTCAGTCTCTCTGTCAAACACACACATTTTCCATTTTACCCTTCATTCTTTCTTATTTTAAGTGTTTGTGACAAGTCTCAGGTTATTTGACACTCTAGACTGTGACATTTTAAATATACTTTCTTTTGGGAGGTTTTACCATACCATGTTTATCTGATGCATATTTTTCCATATTTTGTTTGTCTTTTATCTGAAGAATACTTCTGCAAATCATCCTGTTTCTTAAGCTCCATGACCGTCTCTCTCACCTTTATCACTATTTCATAGCTTATAGAGATCATTTGTAGTTGCATAGTTTACCATTCATTTTAGTAATGCCTCACCTATTTGAACTGTTTTCATCTTCTGGTCTCTTGTCATAGAACTGTATCTTTTTTTTCTTTACCCAAGGCCTGCTCTCGTGCTCTCTGGGAACGACTGGGTTCTTGACTTCCAAAATGCCTATCACTTCTATCTGCTGTTCATTGTCTCTTGAGGATCAGAATCTGGTCCAGAATAAAAAGGTTGTTTATTCACAATATCTATGCCTGGAAAAGAAAATTGTTGCCGTACAACCTCACACAATCTTGTTTTGGCTAGATGAGACTTGTTAAGTATGAGGAAATGAAGGTGCCCCATTTGCATGGGAACTCACCTCTCAGAATGGTCAGCAGCTGAAAGTACCAAAAGCCTTCTTCAGATGGAGCTGGGGTATCCTGCATAAATCTCCATGTGGGCTCTCCTTAGTGATGACCTGAAAATTAGGTGCTGTCATGTTTGAAATCATTTGACCTCATTCTGAAATCTAATCTTTTTTTTTAAATTTTTATTAGTGAAACACCATGAGGTACAGTTGTAGACTTACAAGTTTTTGTGCTTGGGTTTCAATTATGCAATGATCAAGTACCCATCCCTCCACCAGTGCTCACTCTCCACCACCACTGATTCCAGAATCCCTCCCACCCCCATCCCCCCATCCCATCCTGCCTCTGTGGCAGGGCATTCCCTTTTGTTCTCTCTCCCTTTGGGGTGCTGTGGTTTACAAAAGAGGCGTTGAGTGGCAATCATGTTACTTCTATAGTCTACTTTCAGCATGCATCTCCCATCCTGGGAGAATCCTCCCAACACCCTTTATTTGGCTCTCCCTTCTCTATCTGAGCTGCCTTTTCCCCTAGTGTGTGCGGCTGGCCTCCAAGCCATGGATTAAACCTCCTGGTACTTGTCTCTGCTCTTATTGGTACTACATGGAAAGTATCATGCTAAGTGAAATCGAATCTTTGACACTTTCTCTCAGCATCTCTCCACTCTTATGCCAATGTGGCTCCACGGACACATTAACAAATATCAGATGACAGTTACATTGGCCACAAGAGCAAGAGCTGACCTTCAGACTAAGAGAAAAATGTCTTCTGCAGTGATCCTGCTTCTATTCCCAAGTCATATTATCTCTTCTGTGTAAAAAGTCCTACTTTGGACAAACTGGCAGGCTACCGAATGTAGCCTGCCCACATGGCAGAGTCTGGCAAACTCCCCGTGGCGTACCCAATATGCCAAATACCAGTAACAATGATGGTTCTCATTCTCCTAAAGAGCCTTGAATATAATCTCAGGGCTAGGATGAAAGAGACATTACTGGGGCCTGCTCGAGGCAATCGACGATTAACAGGATGATTTGTGATTTGTGTAAAAAGTCAGAATTTATTTCAGTGTGTGTATGTAAGTCTTTCATGGGAGTAATTTCTGAATGGAAGGTGATGAAAGAAAGGATGTGCACATCTATTCTACCTGCTCCATTCCTCACATCTGCCCCCACTTTGTTCTCAGATTCATATTTTACTCCTAAAGCCTTCCAACCTATGTTTAAACTAATATTCTTGGAGGCAGGAGTGAGCAAGTGACAGAGCTCAGGGCTTACTCCTGACTCTATGCTCAGGGATCACTCGTTGGGGTGTTCAGGAAATCATACGTGGTGCTCTGCGTAGAATTGGGCTTGGCTCTGTGCAAGGTAAAAGCCTACAAACCTGGACTATTTCTCTACCCTGAAAACTAATATTCCTTTCCTGGACCATGTGACATCTCATACTGTACACCACTGATGTACCAAGAGTAGCACACCACATTTAATGGGATGTAAAGTAGAAGGCAACCAATCTCAGGGAGAAAATATATAGAAATATAAATAGATATACACACATGCATACACACATATTAGCAGGCAAAGGTTCAATTTTTAACAACGTGTTGGTAATCTCTTATACAAGGGCCTAATATCTCCAGGGTGAAACACAATAATCTTCACGCACTTTCCCCTGAGGAAACATTTTTGGGTCACTTTTAGTAGATTATTCATAATAAGCGACACAGAATAAATTATTTATGTCCTGCCTTGGATTATTTTTGTGGGTTGGGGTGGAAATATTTTAAATATGATGATGGGAAGGTATAATTGTGATGGGATTGATGTTGGAATATTAAATGTAATAAATTATTGTGAACAACTTTATAAAAATAAAACAAAATTTTTAAAAAAGTATACTTAAAACACCTAATATTTTTTTATTATATTTATTTTTTAATAGTGAGGCACCATGAGGTACAGTTGTAGACTTACACATTTTTGTGCTTGGGTTTCGATTATACAATGATCAAACACCCATCCCTCTACCAATGCGAATTTCCCACCATGGGGATCCCAGCATCCCCTCACCCCCCAGCCCCCATCCCACCCTGCCTCTGTGCCAGGGCATTTCCCTCTCTCTCATTTTGAGTGCCATGGTCTGCAAAAGAGGCATTGAGTGGCAATCAAAAAAAACCTAATATCTTTACAGATGTCTTGCATGGGTCTGAGCAATAATACAGCAAGAAGGGTGTTTCTCTTGTATGACTCAGACCTGGGTTTGATCCCCAGCACTCCATATGGTCCCCTGAGCACCACCAGAAGTAATCCCTCAGTGCTGATATAGGAGTAACCCCTGAGCATCACTGAGTGCAGTCCAAAAACCAAAAAATAAAATTTAAATTAGAATTTCTTACATGTCCATGCCCTGACTCAAAATCTACCAAAGGATCCTTGGGCTTTTAGTACAAAAGTCATTGGTTTCAGTTTTGCATTCAAACTCTGCTACACCTGTGAGTGGATGAATGATTGGGCTATTGAGGCTTTCCTGGTGTGGATTTATTTTTATATTAGCTCATACAATTCTTACAACAATCACGCAAAACAAGAATTATTAATCCCATTTTATAGTTGAAGGGAACTTTGACCTCCAATAGTGAAATGATTGAACCAAGAACCCACAACCAACCAATGGCAGTGTCACCAATTCTCCATTTTCTCCCACCTCTTTACTGCCCAATTCCACCTCTTCCCAGCTCTATAAAACTCCACTGTTACTTGACAAGAATTCTCTGCTTCGCTTCATGATTTGTTCATTCTTCATAGGTATATTTTGCCTCTCTTTTGGATATTCAGGTCTTCTCTGTCTTTTATGATTTAACCAAGACCAGTTTCCTCTATGATGCTGTCAATAGTTACTTAAGCCCCTGGGTTCCCACGTTACTTACTGTCGAAATTGTGGGACGCTCAAAATAACTTTCTATGGATTAAAATGGGTAACTCTACAGAGATGGTGCTCAAACATTTTATAGCTACTATGTCTCTTGTGGAACCCAGCACACAGCTAGGTGTAAAATCTCAAATTTGAACATTATTGTACCTCACTGGATTCAAGTACTTCAAATTGAATTTTATAAGTAAAAGCATGAAAGAGAGGACTGAGAATTGCATTCCAGAATCCTGGACTTCCATTTGTTAAATGTTAAAATTAAAGAATTTTAAGATAATGGAGTAGGGTGCTTTCACAGGTGGCTATATCCACAGTGTCCTTCTAAATCCATTTTAAATATTTGTGCCTTTTAGGTGAAAATCTGTGTGATTATTATAACTGTGTACGGAATAAAAACAACTGTGCTGACGGTTCGCAATGTGTTTGCAAATCAGGAATGTACAGGCCTACCCCACAAGCCTCTCATTGTGTTCGTAAGTGTTCTACTGCCTCCCCAAATGTTCTTTACAACTTCATTATTTCTCCGTTCACAATTGCAACATGCAAACTTGGCTCAAGAGTCCACATACATACCAGAGTCTGAACAATCTGAATATTAACTTTGCACATTCAGACCAAGTAGGGGTCAGGGCTGAGAGGAGGGCAACCCATTGTATTTGGGGGGAGCAGATGGCTGAGCCCATGCACATGTCTGTGTAACCAAGGTAAAGAAATTTCAAGCTGGGATTTTGCACATGGTGTTGCAGAGGTTGTTTGTGAGTTACCCAGACATCTCTGTGTTTTCAAAGCTATTCCGTGTCCTCAAAACTGCACCTCAAAATACAATAAGCATTGCCAGTGGGATGAAACTTTGGCGCGTTCTAAATGTGTGTGCCTGCCAGACTACATGGATGCTGGAAAGGGGATCTGTCAAAAGTAAGAGACTCTAACTACTTTTCTTTAAATCCTTCCTAACTAAAGCCAGGCCAAAATGATATAGCTTGCAGAGAATGTTTGGGTTTAAAATCAGGACATTGGCACCAGGCATAAGTGGAGCAATATATACATGGAAAAATCTGGATCATGCTGAGTCACATGAGTCAGAGGGAAAGAGTCAGACACAGAATTATTGTCTCATATGTGTCATTTTCTCATAAAGAATAACAAATGCCCAAAGACAATGAAAACAAAGGATGTGAGAAATGATCTTTAATGAAAAATGTCACTTTTTGGTGGGTGGGGAGTTGGAGGGTGGGAGAAGACAGGGAAGGGCAATGAATATAGTGGAGGCAAGTATTCAACTGGGAAGACAAAGTGGTGCTGAAAGGTAGTGAAGCCTTATGTGCAGACCCTATTAGTAACAGTACTGTAAAACACAAAGCAGAATCTTTCTTTAAGTGCCTCTTGTGGAGGCAGACTGGTGGGTGGGATGCAGGGGTGGTGGGGAAGACATTGGTCTAGGGAAATGGACACTGGTGAAGATATTGGGTTGAAATATTGTATGCCTAAAATACAATAATGAACAACTTCATAATTTCACAGTGACTAAATTTTAAAAAGCAGAGCAGTTTAGACATCATCATCAATATATCATCATCAGTGTTTTCTTGGACCTTCTCTATGTGCTTGGAAGCGCTTAGATCATGCTTCTTACACACTGCCAGTAATGTACTATTCCCCCATTGGGAGCCCACATACCACAGGCTCCTGGCTTCAGCTTCACCTGAATGGTTGAATCTTCCTGGACCTCAGGGGCCAGAGGATTCCACCTGAATACTCAGGAGCAAATGCGGCCTCATGGATTTGTGTAGTGGTATCCCTCCACCTTCCATGGAGGATGATTACCAGGGAGAAGGAAGCAGAAGGATGGAAGGATGAGGCAGAAATAGGGAGAAGGGGGAAGTGGGATATGGAAGGAGGCAATGAAGCAGAAGTGGGACTCCCATGCCCATCTCAGAGGCTCTTGACCTTGACCGTGGTGCCCAATTCCTTACTCTGTTTCAGGTGTGGATTTGGCTACAGAGGAGTGAACTGTCAAGACAGTGAGTATGAATCTCTGTCTTTATCGAATCTTTGAGAAACAGACATTGGCTACATTTATAAATGAGTCATGTCCGGGAGTTCTAGTTCACTCCCAAAAGTAAGAAAAGATTGACACCTTGTCTTCGGGGTCAGGCCACCCTTGTCCCCTTCAGGTAACGGGAAGCAGAGCTACTGCTACAGGAATGAGCTGATCTCAGTGCTGATGTTGGCAAGTGCCACTGGTGTGTTCCTTATAAACAAAAGTGTCCTGACATGCTATTCATTTCCTCTGGTATAGATTAGTGATCAATTCTCTGCCTTAGACAGAACAATATCCAGTGGATCCCAAAAATGATTGAGAGAGCAGTGCCAGAACCACACATTTAAAGAATCCATCTGCCTTTATCTTCAATTCTTTCATATTTTCAGATGTGGCATTACAAATGCTCTTGCTTCATTCCTTCTCAGACCCACACACAAGACCTGGAAAATTCTGTTTTTATATTTTGGGTTAATAGGTTTTACATTTTGCATACTTAAGAAAAAAACACCAATCCAGCATGAAGGAAACATTACAGTTTGCTTCCAAGACAACCACAATGCAAATGATGATAAATATTTGTTTGTGGTCGTAGATGGGGAAGGTGCTTGCCTTGCACACAGCTACCAATGTTCAGTTCCTGCCACCAAGAATGTTCTCTTAAGCTCCACCAAGAATGATCCCTGAGTACAGAGCCAGAATTATGTCTTGAGCACATCCTGATGAAACCTCTCTCTACCCCTAAAATAGTAGAAAAAAAGAACTTTGACTTAATTTGTTACAAAGTTGAATTTGGTTGGTTTTCTGGGGCACAGAATAGGGACCTCCCACTCCACATTTTCTTGAGGCACTATGTAGTTCAGGGGATCCAGCCCAGGGCTCCTGCATGCAAAGCTCAGGCCCTTTGAGTGCACTCTTAGGCCCAAGGCTGTATTTGTTAAATCTTTCTGGCTTCTGTGTTGTTAATGTTCATGCCTAAACAATGAGAGATTTGGGACCAGGGAGACATCTTTATGGACTATTGTGCTTTATTTGCATGCAGGCACACAAGGTTTGATCCCCAGTTCTGAAATGTCTCCATGAACATTTGAGGAGTAGCCCCTAATACTAACCTTTAGCACCAGTAGTTGTGAGCTCCCTCCCCCCCCCGCCAAAAAAGAGAGCAAGCTTTGGACTGCGTGACCTTTGGAGTCTTTGCCAGACTCAACAGCCTGAAGAATCCAGGCTGCAGGTGACAGAGAGTGGTAATCAGCGAAAGAGACAAGAGTCTGGACTAGCACGGTCTAATAGAAGTATAATTCAAGCTTCCTGCTTAATTTTAAAGTTTTTAAAATTGTAAGTGAAATGTAGAAAGTTGAGAGAAAAAGTGAGATTTATTTTAATAGCATTATATTTCATCCAGTGCATCTGCATTATGACCAGGAACATACAATCCACGCAAGAGATACTGATGGCTCTCACACACTCTCACACTCTGAGTTTGCCATCCCCTGGGCATGTTGCACTCACACTCTGTCTCTAGCCATTTCAGTAACACAAGTTGGATCAGATGCAGAACAGGATGAGTGCTAATACACTCTTCATGCCCACACTTTAAGGGCCATTTCATGGCCTGTTAGTGCCTAGGCACCCAAAATTGACTTCCTCGACTTAAGAGGTCAGGAATGAAGGGGAGGGAGGAACTAGGCACCCAAAATTGACTTCCTCGACTTAAGAGGTCAGGAATGAAGGGGAGGGAGGAAGTTAGGTGCATATGTGGACGTGGACGTGGAGTGAGATCCCATCCACACATGAGGTCCAAGAAAGTCCTCTCCTTCTCTCCTTCCTAGTTCTGATCTTTTCTCTGCAAGTCTACCTCTTCTGCTTGATTTCTGAAGATGCAATTGGGTGGGGGTCAACCCTGATCAGAGGATAGGCTGCTTAGCTCTTCCAGTCCTGGCACTCTTTGAAACTTAAGCCAGAACCCTAGGAATGAAGGTACCTGGGTGGTGGACAGGGCTGCCGGCTGCTGGTAGCCAATCCTACCTTCCCTTCTCCCTTACAGATTTTCAGCTGATCCTCACTATCGTGGGAAGCATTGCAGGCATCTGCATTCTCGGCTTGATGATTGCAATGATCTTCATGGGGGTGAGGTAAGAAAGAACCTGCCCCTTCCGGGGTACAGTGCCCGACATCACACTCTATCGTATCCAAACACCCACAGCACCAACCTCACATCTCTTGGGCAAGATATGGAGCAGAGATAGACTTCTCTGATCCCGTTGTGTCACCTTGAGTTCCCTCTGATTCTATCAGCTCGATGTAGTCGTTTAAGAAAATATAAAAAATACGGCTATATAGTACAGCAGGTAAGGTGCTTGTTTTGTACACAGCCAACCAAATTCATCCTCAGGATCACATAGGGTCTTCTGATTCCATCCAGGATGATACTTGAGCACAGAACCAGAGGTAAATCTTGAGCTTCACTGGGTGTGGCTTCCAAACCAAATGTATATAATATTGTTGTATAATCGTAATATATTTATATAAATAATCCTATATTTATATATTTAAGTGTATCATATAATAGAGAAATATTTTTAAAAAATGAAAATTTACAAACACTACTACCCCAAAGCAACTAAACATTTCATTCGTTTAAACTTCCAGATTGCTTTTCTTTAAAATGACATTTATGGGGCCTGAGCAATCAAAAAACATGTGGGACACTTGGTTTTTATGCAGACAACCCAAGCTTTATTCCCACACCCTCTGAGACTCACCAGTAGAGACCCTTGAGCACACAACCAGTAGAAGCCCCTGAGCACCATCGGGGTGGCCAATGGTGCCAAAACAAAACAAAAAATGAATCAGATAAAATAGAAATCCATCATGTACATAATTTTGGATGCTTTGCAGTGGAAAAATAATGTGTGGAGGTTCATTTTTCTTATTTCTCTAATGTAGCTTAGCAACCATTTCCTGGACTATTAAAAACTCTGTTCCCAGCCTTTAATTCCTTTGGTGTTGTCTTGTATCACTCCTCTGTCAGAACCCCCTGTAAAGGGCCAAACACCAGCCTCTGAGGAGTCCCTGGGGTCTGCACTGAAGCATTTCTTCACGGCCGTTTCTCACCTTGGTGCTCTGAGAACTGGAGAAGGAGCCTTCACTTATCCCATAAATATTTAGACATGCAAAGTTCCCTCCATTTCAGTTATACCAAGTGAGGCTGCACTTGATAAAAATGAGTTATTAAAGAATTAACATTTAGCTCACACTTTCTATATTGGCAAGATGGATAACTTTTCACTCATGCAAATAAATAAATAGATTTTAGGTTCTTAAAATATTTTGCTTCTTCTATGCTTTTCTAATTTATTCTACTTTGATAATAACTCATTCTCTGTGTCTGATTATAAGAATGCGAACTGGGAAATAGAAGTGTGTCTATCCCCTTCCTGGGAGGGGCTCAGAACACTCCATGTCTGACCAGGCTGCCTTGCTCTCATTAGAGGACTGGCTGGCTCTCCTGTCCCCCATGCTGAACTCACAGTGCACAGAGCATCACAGGAGACGCAGTAGCACCAGGAGTCCCATCCAGGAAGACTCTCATCACCTCCCTCTTGAGGCACGCTGGCTCTCAGCCCAGGGCACACTGAGAAAGAGCATTTCCTGCCAAGGAGGCCTCGCCCAGTCTCACTATGCAGGAGTATGGTCACAGGGCAGGAATTCAGGGGAGGTTCTACCTTCATGACACTCTCCTGGGGACTAGGGGCCATGATCAGAGTTCACAGGGTAGGGGGTGGAGACAGTTTTGGTGATAGAGCTCATGCTTTTCATGGGTCAAGTCCTTTGTTTGGTTTGTGGTTACTCATGGTGCCAGAGTGCTGCTGGATGTGGATCTGGTGGCCCCCAATTGTTATGGATTAATTGGGGTTCAGATGCCTCTTCACCACCAAGGTCTTGCACTTGACTTTAAGAGCAAGCTCAGTGGTCTAAGCTCATGCACTGTGTGCAGGAGGCCCAGTTGTAATCCCCTGAGCTATGAGTAGCCCCTGAGTAATGTGGTTCAAAATTCAAAAAATAATATTTATGCCTGGAGAAATCACTTAAAGTTCTGGAGAATACCCTCTGAATTGAGGCCTGGATTTCATCCCAAACACTGCTTGATCCACAGAACACCCTCAGGAGCAGTCCCTGAGTATCTTTGGGTGCATCCCAGCTGCCTCTGCAAACAATTTGCAGTAGAAAACTGGAAATGCATAGTTCTCCTTTCATACCTGGAGCTCATTTTATTCACAAAGGTGCTCTTTAAACACTGAATTGGGTTAAATACAAACTTGTCCCATCAATTACCCTTTCTCTTTGGCATCTATTATTGTTTCCATAAATAGTTTAAAAGTTCCATAAATGGTTCATTTTTCTTAAAAATAGCTCCATAAACAGCTGCTTGTTTCCACAAATACTTCAAAATAAAAAAAAAACACTGGCACCACAGAGACAGTACAAGACTTAAGCTTGTCTGGATACAGCAGACCCTGGTTTGATTTTGGGCAATGCATATGGTCCTCAGAGTAACACCAGGAGTGATTCTCTGAGCACAGAGTCAGGAGTAACTCCTCAGCACAGCTGGGTATACCCAAAAAAACCAAAAAGAAATAAAATACTGAATTTATTCGCAAAACTGTGATGGGGCTGGGACATTAGACACTGGTGTACATCAGCATTGGCCATGGTGGTGGTGCTCGTCAGGGCTTACAGGAGAGTGTCCTCAAACTCAGGGTCTACACCAAAGAGAGTCATGAATAGGGTAACAGACCTTTGATGGCTCTGAAATGTAAACAGCTGCGGAAGCCAGGTGACAAGAGGCCAGGGACCTTTGTGTGATTGTTTTCTCCTGGTCACTCACTTGGCAATTTCTGATGCTCTCAAAAATGTCTCATGGTAAGTCCCTTGTCAATTTCTAATGCTCTCAAAATTTTCAAGCCCTGTTGAATGGATTAGGAGAGTTAGCTGTGAGGGTCTGTCGGCCATTGTCTGAGCCTAATTCCTTTGACTAACTTTACAGGTCAAGAAGCAGACAGGAAAACACTGACCAACAGAAGATGGTTGAGTACGACTCTCAGGATATGGCAATGCAGCACACAGGGTTCTCCGGGCCATACACAGAGGGAAGCCGCTTCCCGAAGGCCCAAACCACCCCCTCCAGCCAGCCACACAATCCCTACAAGTGAGCTTCCCCCACCCCGAATAATAAGTGAGTCTGGGCTCCCTGTCTGTCCTGATAGAAGCATCACCCCCTGTCCCTAACACTGGCAGTGGCCAGAGTCATCACTTAATCTCTCTACTTTTGTCTCCCCCCTCTGTGAGAAAAGAAGATCCATTAAGAGCCAGGAGATGGCACAGTCTTCAGGGCCCTGCTAGACCTGGGTTTGAGCCTCGGCACCATGTGCGGGGGGGCATCCTGGCTGCAGCCCTGGAAGCCTCCAAGCACTAACACTGACCCCAGCCACATTGGTCTAGTATGAGCGGGAGTGTCCCCTCAGCCCCTGAGCGCACATGGCCCCACATTTTTTTTCTTGTTTTTTAATAATGGAAGCACTGAGTGACAAAGACACTCATGAGTTTCAGGTGTATATTGTTGTAACACAGATGCCTTCACAGTGTCCCCAGTTCCCCCTGCCCTACAGCCTGCCTCTGGGGCAGGCACTTTCTCCTCCCCCATTGCTCTACTGTTCCTTCCCTACTTATCTCTCCACACCTGCCCAGTGCCACACTTCCTAGTGAAGATCAGTTCTCCCACTCTTCATTTCTATCGTCATCCTGCATTTGATATTCCCTCGTGAGTCTTCTTTATATACCATATACGAGAGAGATCATTCTGAATATATTCCTCTCCCTCTGACGTAACACAATATGATACTCCCCAGGGCCATTGATATTGCAGCAAAGTACATGCCTTTATGATTTTTTAAGACTGAATAGTATTCTACGTACTGTATGTATATGTACTATATGTATGTATATATATATATATATATATATATATATATATGTATGTACTATGGTTTATTTAGCCAGGAGAGCCCGGCAAGCTACCGAGAGTATTCGATATGCCAGACACAGTAACAACAAAGTCTCCAATGGAGATGTTACTGGGCCCGCTCGAGCAAATCGATGATCAACGGGAGGGCCTTTACTTACTTACTTACATTCAAGGGCATTTTGTTCTTTCTGCATTTTGGCTATTTTATATAATGCTGAAATGAACACAAGAGTGAAGGGTTTTTTTTTCTGATTTCTGCTATTGAACCCTTGGGTGTATTTTCGGGAGTAGAGCTGCTGGGTCATATGGGAACTCAACCCCTAGTTTTTGAAGGAATGTCCATAATGTCGTTCAAAAGCTGGATCCATGGACATTCCCACCAGCAGTGAATAAGGGTTCATTTTCCTCCACATCCTTGCCAACACTGGTTGTTGTGTTCATTTTGATGAGTTCCAGTCTCTGTGGTATGAGGTGATATCTCATTATTCTATAGGGTTGGATTTGTTTGAGGTTTTATCAATGTATATATCTTGGATTATTAGCCTTTAGTTGGAAGAGTGCTGGGCAAATAACTTCTTCCAGTCTGTTGCTGTTTTTGTATTCTGATCGCTATTTTCATTGAGATACAGAAGCTTCTTAATTTAATGTAGTCCCATTTGACAATCTTTACTTCTACTTGTTTGGTCAGTGGCACTTCATACTTAAAGATGGATATAGCTTCAATGTCACAGAGAGCTTTGCCTAAAATTTCCTCTATATGAATTATGAATTCAGGTCTGATATCTAGGTCTTTCATCTGTTTTTATATGACTTTGTGCAGAGCATTAGAAAGAGGTCTGAGCTTGTTTTATTGCATGTGGCTGTCCAGTTATCCCAGCACCATTTGTTAAAGAGGATCCACTTTATATTTTTTGCTCCTATTTCAAAGATTAGCTGACCATTTACCTAAGGATCTGTCTCTGGTTCCCTATCCTATTCCACTGATCTGTCCTAATTCCGCCTAATTCCAGTAGCATGCTGTTTTAATTACAACCACGTTACAACCAGTTCGATTTGGGGAAAGTGATACCTCCCATATTCTTTTTCCAGTGGATTACTTTAGCTATCTGGGGGGTGGGAGGGAGTTTATTGTTCCACATAAATTTCTGGAGTATTTGATCTTTTTCTTTGAAAAAAAGTCCTGATTTCCTTATAGGGACTGCATTGAATCTGTATAGTGCTCTGGGGAATATTGTCATTTTGATGACATTAATCCTCTCAATCCATGAGTAGCACATATGTCTCCATTTTCTTGTATTCTCTTTTATTTCTTGATTAGTGTTCTATAAGTCTTTAACTTCTTAATTTGAGCCCATTCTTAGCACTTGATTTTTGATGTGCAATTGTGAATATGATTGTTTTATAATATCTTTTATTTCATTATTTATAAGGGAAAGCAAAAGATTTGGAGGGGTTGTATAGATTCTTTTATTTTTTTTAATTTTTTTCCTTAAATTTTTATTAGTGAAACAACATGAGGTACAGTTGTAGACTTACAAATATTTGTTCTTGGGTTTCAGTTATACAATGATCGAATACCCATCCCTCCACCAGTGACCATTCTCCAACACCACCAGTCCCAGTATCCCTCCCACCCTCCTTCCCCCCATCCCACCCTACCACTGTGGCAGGGCATTCCCTTTTGTTATCTCTCTCCTTTTGAGTGCTGTGGTTTGCAAAATAGATATTGAGTGGAAATCTTGTTTGGACTATAGTCTATTCTCATCACACATTTCCCATCCTGAGAGGACCCTCCCAACACCCTTTATTGGTGCTCCCTTCTCTATCTGAGCTGCCTTTTCCCATAGCATGTGCGGCTGTCCTCAAAGCCATGGAGTAATCCTCCTGGTACTTATCTCAGCTATTCTTGGGTGTCAGTCTCCTATTTTATTACTTTATGTTCCCCAGATGAATGCAATCTTTCTACGTCTATCCCCCTCTTTCTGACTCATTTCACTTAGCATGATACCTTCCATGTAGTACCACTTGTATGTAAATATCATGACTTCATCCTTTCTGACAGCTACATAGTATTCCATTGTGTAGATGTACCAAAGCTACTTTAACCAGTCAGCTGTGCTTGGGCACTCAGGTTTTTTCCAGATTCTAGCTATTGTAAACAGTGCTGCAATAAACAGACAACTGAAGATGTCACTTCGACTATACTTTTTTGCCTCTCTGGGGAATATTCCTAGGAGTGGAATTGCTGGGTCAAATGGGAGCTCAATTTCTAGTTTTTAGAGAATTGTCCATACTGTTTTCCAGAAGGGCTGAACCAGTCAGCATTCCCACCAGCAGTGAAGGAGGGTCCTTTTCTCGCCACATCCGCGCCAGCACCGGTTGCTTTTGTTCTTTGGGAAAGCAATAGATTTTTGATTATTAATTTTATAGGGTGCCACTTTACTGCACAAATCTATTGTTTTCAGGAGCTTTTTTGATAGAGTCTTTAGGGTTTTCTAAATATACTATCATGTCATACATAAGTAGGGAGAGTTTGGCTTCTTCCTTTCCTATGTTGATGCCTTGGTATCTTTTATTTACCCAACTAGTATGGCAAAAACTTCCAATAAATACTATATTGAATAGAAGTGGTGAAAGGGAGCACCTTGTCTTTTTTTATGATTAAAAATTTATTTGGCATACAAATATTGGTAAGCTGGAATGATAGCACAGCAGGTAGGGTGTTTTGCTTGCAGGCGGCTGACCCGGGGAACCCAGGTTTGATTCTTCTGCCCCTCTCGGAGATCCCAGCAAGCTACCGAGAGTATGGCGCCTGCCGGCAAAGCCTGGCAAGTTGCCGGTGACATATTCAATATGCCAAAAACAGCAACAAGTCTCACAATGGAGACATTACTGGTGCCTGCTCTAGCAAATCAAACTATAACAATCTCGAAACTATCTGGCTCTTTGCAGAAATCCAAAATCATTAAATGACATTATATGATTCTCATACCAGCTAAATACCAACAAGTATTTCACATGTCTTTTCAGCAATTCTTATTGTTGGGGGGGAAATTATAAACAAAAATGGAGCATCTTTTGTCTAAATAATGAATGTAATCAATGTAGAGAAGAGTTAAGTAGAAATCATCTGCCTCACAGGCATTGGGAGGGGTGGGAGGGAGGTATATTGGGGTTCTTGGTGGTGAAAAATGAGTACTGGTGAAGGGAAAGGTGTTTGATCATTGTATGACTGAGACAAAACTGAAAGCTTAGTAACTTTACCCACAGTGATTCAATAAATAAATATAAGAAGAGAAAAAAATAAAATTATGAAAAAAAGCAAGGTGGAGTTCATGCCCAATTAAATCATCAAATCAGTGGCTGAATAAATAGCAGTACTCCTACATGAAAAAATACAAAAAAAAAAGCTTTCATGTTTGAGTTTCAGTCATACAATGATTGAATACCCATCCCTCCACCAGTGCACATTCTCCACCACCAATGTACCCAGTATCCCCCACCCATCCCAACCATCCACCTTCCTATATGGCAGACAATTTCTCCCATACTTTCTCTCTACTTTTGGGTATTATGGTTTTCATATAGTACGAGAGGCTATCACATTTGGTCCTTTATCTACTTTCAGTACACATCTCCCATCCCAAACGATCCCTCCAACCATCATTGACTAAATGATCCCTTCACTATTCCACCTGCCTTTCCCCCAGCTCATGAGGCAGGCTTCCAAATATGGAGAAATGTTCCAGGCCCTTGTCTCTATTGTCCGTGGGTGTCAGTCTCATATTATTTTACTTTATATTTCACATATGAGTGCAGTTCTTCTACGTCCGTCCCTCTCTTTCTGACTCATTTCACTTAGCATGATGCTCTCCATGACCAGCCACTTAGAAGCAAGTTTCATGACTTCATCTTTCCTAACAACTGCATAGTATTCCATTGTGTAGATGTACCAAAGTTTCTTTAACCAGTCATTTGTTCTCAGGCACTCATGTTGTTGCCAGATTCTGGCTATTGTGAATAGTGCTGCAATGAACATACAAGTGCAGATGTTATTTCTACTGTGCATTTTTGCACCCTCTGGATATATTCCCAGAAGTGCTATTGCACAGTCATATGGAAGCTCAATTTCTAGATTTTTAAGGAATGCCAATATTGTGTTCCAAAAAGCCTGGAATGGTCTGCATT